AGCCTTTGAGCGCCGGCTTGGTCATTGACGTGATCGAGGCGGTAAAACCTTTTTGTGGTATCTTCCCACCGTCGGTACTGGAGGATATTGCTGCAACGCCCAAAGGTATCGAGACGATGGGGAAGCTCAAGTACGTCTTCTTTGGCGGTGCGCCTCTCGGTCCAGGGGCTGGTGACAAGCTTTGCCAAGTGACGAACTTGATGACAACCCTTGGCAGTACAGAAGCCATGTTCATAAGCACCCTGCTTCCATCCAAGCCAGAAGAGTGGGGCTACTTTCATTGGGGTGCTGCTGCGGGTGTCGTCATGGAGCCTGCGGGTGACGACTTGCACGAAATGGTCATCAAACCCAAGGACACGAGATACCAGGCAGTCTTCCATACCTTTCCCGAGATAACCGAATGGCGCACCAAGGATCTGTTCAGTCGCCATCCATCGAAGCCTCATCTGTGGAAGTACAGTGGAAGACGAGACGACATTATCGTTTTGAGCAATGGCGAGAAGTTCAACCCTGTAAGCACGGAGAAGCTGCTCGAGTCGCACCCTTGGGTGAAGGGTGCCCTAGTCGTTGGCTCAGGCAAGTTTCAGGCCGGTCTACTCATCGAACCAGAGTGGTCGCGAGCCGGCACGCAAGATCCCTCTGCCTTGATCGATCACATCTGGCCAATGGTAGAGCAAGCAAATCGTGAAGCGCCCGCGCACGCCCGGATCTATCAGACCAAGGTCGCCGTTGCGAAAGACCACAAGCCTTTCATCCGCGCCGGAAAGGGCTCAACCATACGTCTTCAAACCGTTGCTGCGTTCAAAGACGAGATCGAAGCCCTTTATGCGGATGAGGGGTACTCGAGCGACCCGAACCAGAGTGTTGATGGCGATGTTGCATTGGCAAGCAAGATTCGTGCTGTGTTCACACGCAATCTTCCCTCATTCAGTGACGACGTGGCAGACGATGTCGAGATATTTAGCCTGGGTGTCGATTCGCTTGATGTGCTCGCACTCACAAACGCGCTCAACAAAGCCGTCCGTGGTGCCGAAGTGACCTCATCGATGATCTACAGCAACCCTTCGGTCAAGCAGCTGGCTGCGGCGTTATCTCAGACTGTGAGCACCTCGCCCGTGCAGGCAAGCTTGCCGCCGACCCGAGAGGAGAAGCTCAGCGCCATGGTCAGGAAGTACACAAAAGACATGATCCGACCAAAGAGCATTACTAGTGCGGCTACACGTCCACGGAAACAGACTGTGATTGTTACCGGTACAACGGGTAGTTTGGGAAGTCATATGTTGGAGCAACTGCTTCAAAACTCAGAGGTCGAGAAAGTCTATTGCCTCAACCGTTCGGACAACGCCGAGGTTCGACAGAAGGAGTCTTTCGCCCGCTATCACGATCCCAACGCCGACTTCACCAAGGCTGAGTTCCTCAAGACAGACTTCAGTGCCGACCACTTCGGGCTTCCAGACGCTACATACGAGCGTCTCCTGTCCACTGCGACATCATTCATCCACGCTGCCTGGTCTGTCGACTTCAACCTGTCTCTCGAATCCTACGAGGCCACACACGTCGCTGGCACCTATCGCGCCATAAACTTCGCGTCCGCCTCGCTTCACAAGACACCCATCATCTTCATCTCCTCGATCGCCAGTGTGAGCGACTGGCGTAGCGTCGTGCAAGACGGATCCGCCGTCCCAGAATCCATCGCCACGCTCTTCGACAGCGCAATCACGATACCCCAGGGCTACAGCGAGTCGAAATTTGTCGCATCTGAGATCCTGGCCACGGCCTCGCACCGCTTAGGCATCAAGACGGCCATTGTGCGTGCGGGACAGCTTGCAGGACCGAGCACTAGTGCGGGCGGTGCGGCGTGGAATCGCCACGAGTGGCTGCCGACTATAGTCCACACAAGCAAGGTCTTGAAGAAGCTGCCGCGGACGCTGGGTAATATGGACCGAGTGGACTGGGTGCCCATGGACGTTGCAGCTGGAACCGTCATCGACATCGTCAACGCTACCAGCTCAGAACCCGAGCCCGTGCAGGTATACCATCTAGTCAATCCGCACACCACGAGTTGGGACAAGCTGTACCCCGTTATTCGAGACTTTTACACCCAGGATGACAAGGACGATATGGAGGTTGTGGAGTTTAATGACTGGGTCGATGAATTGGCGCGTATCCCGCAGACGAAAGAGAATGCAGAGCGCATTCCTGGGCTCAAGTTGTTGGACTTCTACCAGAGTCTCAGACCGGAATCGATTGGTTTGCCGGCGTTGGATACGAGGAGGACGGAAGCTGTGAGCGCTACATTGCGTGAGGGTAGAGCTGTGGATGCGAAGACGATCAGGAAGTGGTTGGAGCAATGGGCATTCTGAGGGAAGAGGAGGTGTCTAAACATTTGCTTCCGCTCGCGTTATAGAAGTAGTTAGTGCTGCCAAGCTGACCGTTCGTTACGAGCGGCTTGGCTGGCGACAGAGGTGATGGTCGATATGAAGCTGTGCCGCACGGCTTTCCCTTCTATCCTACTCCTGGTCCAACAAAACTTCAATTCATAGTCTTCCAAATCCGAGAACATGGCTTCGAGACTTAAGTACACCAGTCTGCAGCACCGCATTAGCGAAGACCTGTTCAACCAACTAGGTTGAAACGTTCTAGCTTCTCTAAGCGACATCAAAATCCGGACAGGACTTCGCGATACGACAATCGACGTCTATGTCTTTGACCGTCACCTGGCTAGTGAATCTATCGCTAGTCTACTGTTAAGTCGCATAAACGAGGTAATTAGAGGCGAATGCTAGAGAAGAGTAGACACACGCTATAAAGAATGTAAATAGTACAAGCTACTACCTGCTTTAACTATTAATAACGCAGATAGTACTTCTATTACGCTAGAGCAACTTGCAAAGAAAGTGCACGCACATGTAGACCTGCACGTGGAAGCGCTAAAGCGGGCTGAGGGCATGTTCTATGGAAAACCCGGTTTGACCAAGGATGGGATTATCTCCAGAACCTATAGCACCAAGCCTCACCTGCCTCCCGACATTGGCTTCTTCTTCTGGAAATTGTGTGCAATGCGGCTTGAGCGAATTGTGCGTTTTATTGTCCATATCTTCGCGGAGGTATAGTGTGGTTTTACGGCGGATCAGTTCTGGGCTATGCAGCTAGAACAGGCCTAGCACCGTGAGAGGCTGCGCGAGGAGCTTTAGCATAAGCGTGTCACTGTTGTTCGATCAAAGCAGCTTTACATGCATTGTTTGGGAACATTATCACAAATACAGTCGGCATGTGGCTCATTTTGTTATTGAGGAAGAGCTAAGCTATCAAGATCAGACTTCTCTGAGCAATTCCCTTGGATCGGACCATCCGAGCATGCTGCAACGCTGTGTGCATGCAGCCATTGATCAATGCAACAGCACATGAGTCTGCATACCATGTCAACGCCGCATATCGCAGGCAGGGACTGTTCTTCGAGTGTACAACCACTGGTATGTCAGGGTCGCGAGACCCCGCCACCGGCAATGCTCCTCTGCTGACGAAGTTTTCCCAATCGCACTCATGAACAGGACCGATACTTCCTGGTATCTCAACATCAGGCAGGTCCGTCCAGCTTCGAATGAAGTTGTAGTCTGCTATAATTGGATCTAATACGCCGACCCTGCGACCCTTGTATCGTATGCAAAGAAGCAATCGCTCAGGTATATTGTCCCAGTCTGGCTCAATATGACGGGTGAACTCCTTTGAATGAGGCGGCTCTTGAAGCTGAATGTCTTCGATGATCGGCGGTTGACTATTGTCCCACAACTCCCATCGTGGAGCTATCCCAGGCGCTATCAAGCCATCCGAATTGCAAGGAATGGCGCTCGGGTCGGTGTCGAGGAGCGTAAAGCCAGCGACATCAGCTAGTGACTGACAGTCTTTGAGCAGACTATTGGGCAGAATAATGCGTTTACTAACGTACCCAAGGCCAATTCCTTGCGTCAGTCTTGAGGCTGTGTTGAATGCGGGGAGTTCGTCAATGCGACTCTCTTCCGGATTAGCGAGAAGAATCGCGAGGATAGAGATCACATCGGAACGACGCAAGTACAGAACAGCTTCACTTGTCTCACCTGGGTACTCCGTCTTCTTTTGGATGACCCGCAGACTTTTGAAGATTGCTGTTGACCGATAGCCCCAGGTACCAGCAACAGATCTTGTCCCAAGCATTGTAGTGTCCACTAACTGCAGACATATCTCATAGTAGAACCCCATGACGAATGCTTGGAAGACGTCGAAAGCTTCGAGTACAGCGGGTACGTTTGAAACGCCATCACCTCTTGAGGACAGGGAGGAGCTTGCCACGCTTGGCAACACCACAGCCGAGTTCGGGTCGTAGACGAGTTCCACCAATGCTTCCAAGACATACTCCGCTTCCATTGATAAAACTGATATAATTCCCTTCGTGATTGCTGGAACTCGCGCAGTTGAGAAGCCCAAAGCTTGTACAATCTTGACAAATTTCGGCTCGACCCGAATGTCTTCTAATCCATTGTCTGCCTGGACTCCCACGTTCTTGAGCTCGTAGAAGAAGTCAACCATATCCTGCAGCTGCGTCGTTGGAACGACCAAACGCATGCTGCTGCCAGCCACCGCTCCCTCTTTCCAGGCAAGACGGCATCTGTTGGCCACTGATCTCGATATTGGAAAGGTCGAAAATGTCTCTTCTGGCTGAGTAAGGGAAATCGTGGTTGACAAGTCTCTGCGAAGCTTCGGATTCTTATCGGACTGTTCTCTTCCATGTGCGAATAGCGGCGCTGCGCTGTACACCAAGCGACAAATTGTGGTTGTTGTGGGTGGTGAACCGAAATTCTCGACACTGAGGATTTCGAAGCTCATACTCGTCAGACAAATGACTATTCCAGCGATATCTGACGAAGAGGTGTATCGAATTACGGCATCAACATCCCCGCAGAGAATCCAGAAGAGAAGGTCAGCTACTTCAGTTGCTTCTTCCTTGGGCATGCTCCCGTTGATGATCAGCCCTTTGTCGAGTAGAGAGTTCCGGACTGCGCGACATTCGATGTCCATCTCCCTGACCTAATTGGATCAATTTACATACACTGATATAGGTGCGATGGGACTTACCGCGCCAGAGCTCCTCCAAGAGTTGATACGTGTTGTCAGCTGTGAGACAATAGCGTCTTCGTTGATATCTGACGTTGGTATCAAGCGCTGGAGGAAAATCTTCATGATGTATCGGACTGTAGAGTCCGTCGTGAATGCGTCCAGTGCTGCGACAATGCATGTCATCATGGCAGTGAAACGAGACGAGCTCTTGAGCAGCTTTTCAACCGTGTCGCCTTCTATTCTCTTGGGCACACCATTTTGCAGAAGTCTGAGACGACGTCCCCACCGGCTTTGGAAGCGCATGATGTCGATGACACCCTTTCGTCTAAGAATGCTCGTCTCGTCTTCCTCGAGAAGGTTTAGAAGAGTTTGGTCGCCTGACTCAGCTGAGAGCCAGTTGCCTACTCTCGAAGAAAGCGTACATAAGGTGACAACGTCGCCAATTCCGATGCCAGCAGCAACGAGCGAATGTGCTCCCAACATAGACTGTATAGACATGGTGATGCAGGAAGCCTTCGAGTGGTCAGAGAGGCCGTGCAAGAGTGTTCTTGTGTTCACAAGGCTACCGGTGCCTATTGAGTCACACAAGGCTGAGTTCCACTCGACGTGTAATCCTGTAAATGCGACCGCGATTGGAGTAGTTTGATCGAGTGCTGCGTGCTTCACCTCTTCTAAAGCGACCTGAGCTGCGGCTGTTCGATGCTTTCGTATTATTATGGGATGAGAGCAGAAGATAGAATGCGACTTGATCGACTTGGGCACAATGTCGTTATCGCCTGCGCTTCGCCACACTGTATGCGCCCAGTGACGTCAGAAACGCAGGCAGGGTAGCTGATTGGAACAGGCTGTATACCCGGCACAGTCGACGTCGCCGCCGCGAGTTGTAAGATTAATTCTCCTACCTCTATAGTAAGTAAGAGAGACTCTCTACTAGTACTTCGTACACTTTAGTACTAATAAATTTCTATCTAGATTATAAAACACTTATTCCTTAATATAAAGAAATCTAAAGTTTTACTAAGTAGTAAGAATTAGTATTTTATTACTCTGTAAGTAGATTATAAAGTAGTCTATAAGTAAGAGCTATTAAGCTTAGAGTATATAGAATAGAAGTAGAGCTTCTAATTAGCTATTATATACTAGCCTTAAAGTTAAAATCTACTAAATATTAATAAAAACTTATAAGATTTAGAGATTAAAAAGCTATATAAAGAATTTTAAGGTTTATATAGTAAGCCTAAATCTTACCTATATCTTTTTTATTTTAATTTAAGCTTTAATAAAGTCTAAAATTACTATTCTAGCTAATTAAAGCTATAGTTTTATTAGCTAGTTATACTAACTTTATAATAAAAGTAAGTATTATAAAGCTATAGTAGTAAGTAAATATAACACTTATATTAGCTTACTCTATATAAGAAATACTTAAACTTTAGAGAATTATATATATATAGTATAAAGTGTAATATAATATATTATATTAACACTTTTAGTAAAAGTAGATACTTTAGATAGAACTAGCGCGTATATTTAATTAAGTACTATTAGCTAATAAGTAGTCTATAGTAATTATTAGTACTAGTCTAAAAGCTAGTGTAGCTTTCTATCTTAAAATACTATTACTACTTTTTAGTAAAGCTAGAATTCTAAAGTAGCTTAAGTTTATTTAGAGTAATATTATATTTTATTATATTAAAAGTTATTATAATAGTAAAAGCTTATTAAAAAATTTTAAAAGTAATAAGATAGTTTATACTAATTTTTTTTAAGACTAGAAGCTTAATACTTAAAACTTAAGTCTAAAAAATCTTAGTAAAAGAATATTATAAGATATCTAGCTATAATTTTAAAGCTACTAGAAGATTTTATAGATTAAATTTGTTTTTCTTCTTAGTATATAAGACTATTTATACTAATACTTCTAACTAAGACTATATACTTATTTATACTACTTTTAGAAGCTTTACTATAATTTAGAAACTAGTAATATAGAATAGTAGTAATAGAGTTATAAGTATATTAATAAACTCTATACTATATATAGTTAGCTAACTAGTAAATAACTTTTATATAATAACTACTTCTTTAGATTTTAATAGAAGTATTAGTTTTATTTATAGCTACTATTTTATAAAAAGTATCTTTATTTTTAAAGTAAGCTATAAATACTTATTATTATTTTTCTAAATCTTATTACTTCTAAAAAGAACTTTAGCTATACTATTCTAGCTAGAGTATTTTTTTATAAATTTATAGTATTCTAAAAAGCTAGAAAAGAATACAGACTTAATATTAATATAGATTATATAAGTAATTAAAAATATTCTAGTAAAGATATTAGTAGAATACTCTTTTTATTATCTAGAAAATATACTATATTTACTAAAGAATAGAAATATCTTATAAATAAGCTATTTAGAAGTAAATTTAGAAAAGAAAGTAATAAAATACTTAGTATTAGTAAAATATAAAATAGAAATTATATAAGTAAAAATTAAAGAAAAAAGAATAATAAAGATAGGTATAAAAATATTAAAAGAGAAAAAAATATTAATAAATCTAGTACATAATAATAAAGTACTACTTAACTAGTTCTTTAATATACTTATAATAGCTTATAGTATAGTAAAACTAAGAAGTATAGAATAGTTTTTATTATAGCTTTTATAATTATAATAGTAAAAGAACTTTAAAAAGTAGTAATAGTAGCGCCTTAAAAAGAAAGTTTACTAATATAGTAATAATAAAAAAGGCTAAAAAAGGTTTAAGTAAAGTAGTAAGATAATATAATAAGTAATAAGATAAGCTTTAAAAATATCTATACTAGAAGAACTTATAAAAAGATATAAGATAAAATATACTTAAAAGCTTATTTAGTATATATATTAGTTTTAGTTTAGAACTAGATTTAAGCTACTATTTACTAAGATAAGATTTAAAATTTCTAATTTACTATAAGCTATAGAATAGTAAAAAGTATAAGAAAAAGAAAGAATAAAGAAATAGAGAGTATATATCTAGTAGAAGAATAATCTTATATACTTAATATCTTAGTTTTTTTATACTTTATAATTTAGAGCTTTTTTAGTTATAAGCTATTTAGAATATATAATAATAATATAATTCTCTATACTATAGATAAAAACTAAAATCTAAGTCTTAGCCTATATAACGCTATATATCTAGAGTAAATTTTAGAAATATACTATTTATTATTCTAGTAATAGCTTTTACTCTTTTTAGACTAGTAGATACTATAAAATTCTTAGTTTACTAATAAAAAATTTTAAAGTACTTTAATTTATAAAATAAGATTCTTTTCTATTAGTATTAAAGATAGAGTATTAATATATAAGTTAATATAACTCTTAACCTACTTTTATTACTTTCTTAAAATTAAATTTAATAGAAATTAGCTAAATATAATATATTTAAAAAATCTAGTAGAAGAACTACTAGTTATTAGAGATAGTATTATTATACTTAACTATTTAGTATATCTATACTTTAAGTTTAAACTTAGATTAGGTTTTAAATAATAATAGATAGTATAAATTTAAGCGCTAGCTATAGTAGATAATTAAGATTCTTATACTTAAAATAGATTTAAAAGAAGTAAAGATTCTCTTTATAGTCTATTTTTAGAGGTTATAACTAGACTATCTAAATTAAAATTTATAGATAGTAGAAGCTATATAATATAAGAAAATAAGCTCTTATTTAGAATTTAGTTTAAAAAGATTTCTATAAATTTATATATAGTTATAGTAATAAAAGAAAGTTTTAAGTTTTTATACTTATAAAGAGCACGTAAAAGAATTCTAATTATTAAAATAAGATTCTTTAAATATCTAAAGAATCTTACCTAAGTATTTTTTTAATTAGAAATAAAATTAAAAATTGTTACTTTAGTAATAAAATTTAAAATAAAGATAACATTATTTTAGATATATTTATAAAATATATCTAGAAAAAAGAGTCTTAAAATAAAAGTTAAAGAAATTATATTAACTATAGCTTAATAATTATAGTTCTATATAAATAAGAGTAGTAGTGTTTACTTATTACTTAGTACTTATTACTTAGTTTTTAGAGAAATAATTTAATTATATTATTATAGTATAGGTATAACTAGGTTAATACTAGTAATAATAATAACTTATCTTTTTGTTTTTTCTACTAATACGTTCTACTAACCTACTTATTTATATTATTTTTTACTATATTCTCTAATTCTTTATTATTATTCTCTTCTATAAATAATTAAAGTTACTTATTATAAGCGCGTATATAAGTTTATTATAGTAAAGTATTAATATAGAGTAGAGTAATAAATTATAGTTAGTAACTCTATATAGTAATCTTAATATAGGTATATTTTTAAAATACTTTATACTTACTATAGATCTAAGTATTAATAAAACTTTTATTTTTAATACTTACTATAAATATAGATAGTAATAATATACTTCTAAAAGATAATAGTAATAAAAGCGTCTTTAGTAAACTTAGAAGTAGACTTAGAAGTAGTAATAAGTATATAAAGCTATAGAAATATTAAAATATTCTTAAAAGTTAATATAGAAGCTATCTAAGAGAGAGCTATTACTACCTAGGTAGTAATTTTAGTAGAAAGAGTAAAAGTTAAAGTATAGTATTTTTCTCTTAGCTATAGAAGTAGATAGATAGAAGTCTAAGTAGTATAGATAAACTTTAAGTCTAGAGTAGTATAAGTAAACTCTAAGTCTAGAGTAATATTAAATTATAGTACTATACTACTATAAAATATAAAATTATATTTATATAAGTAAACTATAGTATAGAAAATAGTAGTCTAGAAAGAATTATAAAATACTTTATATATAAAGAATACTTCTTTTTCTTTTTCTTTAGTTCTTTATCTAATAACTTTCTATCTTAAAAAACTTTTTATATCTTTAAAAACTTTATATAATAAGATACTACTTTAACTTAACTTAATACTAATAGTAATATTTTCTTAAAGATTTCTCTTTCTATAATAAATAATATTATAATTAGTACTTTTAATAACCTTTTTAAGAAGCCTTTTATTATTAAGTATATAATAGCTTTTACTATAGTAATTTTAGTAGTAAGTAACTATAAGAATAGTTTAAGTACTATTATAGGTTAAACTTTTTTTCTTATTAAGAGCGTAATAATATTTACTATTAAAAATATATAAAAAAATCTAAGTTCTAGATTTAATCTAAAAGTATAAAGTATACTAAAGATACTTAATACTACTTTTAGAGTATTAGTTATTTTTCTTATACTAAGTAGACTATTTATAAAGTAAAGACTAGACTTCTTATATACTAAATAAAGATTTATTAATATATAGTATATATAGCTTTATTAAGTAAAGACTAAGTTTTTTAAAGTACTACTAGTAGCTCTAATAGTAAAAGAATATAACTTTATTAAAACTATATTATATAGCGTATATAATAAATAAAAGATAAAGATTTTTTATT